TTTTTCAGTTCGGCCATTTTAAGAAAACTTTTAAATTTTGAAAATTATCCAAGGCTATAGCCCATGGTTTTTTCTGAAAAATGACTCCAAAATGACCCCCAATTTTTATTACATTTTCCAATACATAATTATGTCCTAATGCTGTGTAGAAAGTTTGAGGTGATTCCGATAAGAAATGTTTGAGTTATGAGCATTTTTAGAAACAAGCTGAAAATTGGTTCTGTAATCACCTCCAATTTTTATTACATAAAAAAACTTACTTAGTTGTGTTTTATCCTAAAACAGAACTAAGTACATGTAAGTTGTGTTTTAATGTTAAAGACAACATTACCTTAAGGAGACAATTGTTTGCGGGTATTTAATTTAGCGAATTTTAGTGATTAAAAAAATTGCTAACTTAAGTCCGCGCTAATTTTAATTTCTTCATTGAAAGTGGGTGTGGTCACAATGAATAAAATGGCGGCCGTCAGCAAGTCTGAGCTTATTTGCAGCAAACGGTCAGCAAGATAATACTAAACTGCTGTCCAAAGACTTGTCTAGCAGTTAGCCTAGGTTAACAAAGCAGATGACAGTCTTCTTCATTCAGTGACTGCTTCTAACTGTAAGCAAGATAACCGTACATGTTAATGGCTGCAGAGTCAGTGATGAAGCCGGCAATTTAAGCAAGATTAATGCAACAAGATCTACTGTATTAGCGTATTTAGACTTGTGCTATTGCTTTGCTTGCTCTCATACATGTAGATCACAGCACATAATCTATAGCTTGCTTAGGCTCGCCCCTTTAATTCTCCTAGAAGTATATTAATACCAAATGATCAAAAACGCTAAATTAAGTACCAGCCAAATGTCAGTTTCATGAAAATCGCTAAAATAAGTACACACTAATAATTGTCTCCTTAAGGTAGTTTCAGTCCTAACTAAATCAATTAATGTTTAACATAATGTCACCTCCTCCACATTATAATGAGACACACATTAACTGATCAATCATTAGCTGATACTAATGGACTAATGTTCATATACTGTATATTACATACAGTCACTAGTCAATAGTGTCTGCTGGAGTAGAGGAGGAGGTGTCTGTTATAAGGAGTGTATCTGTTAATAGTATCACATTGTACCAAGAGTGGATAATTATCCACTCTTGATTGTACTAATAATAGTGATAATGATAATTGTTTTTAATAGTTGTTTGTCGTGCTTGAAATTCATTTTAGTTTTAATATTTTGTGTGTAGAATATTTGATTTAGTGTCACCTTTATTTTTTGTTTGTTTATATTTGCAAGACACTTGAGTCACTTTTTAATATTTATGCTGTTTTTTTTATTTTGCTTGTGGGCGTTTATTTGAGTCCTTTTGTTTGGTCTATTGTCTGCTGTAGTTGGAAGTGCTTA